AAAAGAAGGCCCTCCATGGACAGTTCCTGCAAGTAACTTGCAGAAGAACTGCAAGTTACTCAGGAGCTTCCAGGAAACTCCAGAGTAATCCCAGTCTTTTAAACATCTGGACAACTGGATTGATAGGGATGCAGGGCGATCCAGGGTCCACACATCACAAAGGCCCACCACTGTGTCACCAGGCAGAAAGCAGCTCCATGGCCAGCCATCTGGACAGCAAAACAGCATTGGGGGCAATCCTGTGGTGTATCTGGGACAGGTTTGAGCAGAGTATCCAGCATATTTTTTCCGGTATGTACTATATTTTGCTGCAGCATCTTGCATGAGAGAAAGCAGTTTCTGCTTTTGTTGTGTGATGCCATTTCTGTTTCTCTGCTCACTAATTTGGAAATAATGCGTAAAGTACTTCTTCACACATTACTTTTTTTCTGCATATGAAGCTTAAAATGAGTCAGACAGCAATCAGTCTAAGTACTCTATGTACTTTCTAGGATTTTAGACAGAAGACATTCTCAGCGGTACCTGGAAATATCAGAGATTTAAGTGGGGGCCCTCTTCATGCGGAAGACATGCTGTATCAATGAGAAAATTTCAAAATGTATATATTTTTGGTGTCAGGAGTGACTTGAGAAACTGTAAGTTGCTTCTGGTATGAGAGAATTGTCTGTCTGCAAGGATGTTTGATGTTTTACCATCCTGTGGGAGGCTTCTCTCATGACCCCGCATGGGAAGCTAGATCTGAGACAGGAGCTCACCCCAGTCACCGGATTTAAACCGCCAACCTGTCAGTCAGCAGTCCTGCTGGCACAAGGGTTTAACCCAGTGTTTTTCAACCCAGGGGTCGGGACCCCTGGGGGGGTCGTGAGAGGGTGTTAGAGGGGTCACCAAAGACCATCAGAAAAAACAGAATTTTCTGTTGGTCATGGGGGTTCTATGTGGGAAGTTTGGCCCAATTCGGTCATTGGTGGGGTTCAAGATGCTCTTTGATTGTAGGTGAACTATAAATCCCAGCCACTACAACTCCCAAATGCCAAGGTCTATTTTCCCCAAACTACACCAGTGTTCATATTTGGGCATACTGAGTATCCGTGTCAAGTTTGGTCCATCATTGTTTGAGTCCACAATGCTCTCTGGATGTAGGTGAACTACAACTCCAAAATTCAAGGTTAATGCCCACCCACCAAACCCTTCCAGTATTTTCTGTTGGTCATGGGAGTTCTGTGTGCCAAGTCTGGTTCAATGCTATCCTTGGTGGAGTTCAGAATCCTCTTTAATTGTAGGTGAAATTTAAATCTCAGCAACTACAAGTCCCAAATGACAAAATGCACCCCCCCCCCCGAACAAATTTGGATGTAGTGGGAATTTGTGCTAAATTTTGTCCAGTGAAAGAAGATACATCTTGCATATGAGATATTTACATTACGATTCATAACAGTAGCAAAATTACAGTTATGAAGTAGCAACAAAAATGATGTTATGGTTGGGGGTCACCACCACATGAGGAACTGTATGAAAGGGTCGCGGCATTAGGGAGGTTGAGAAACACTGGTTTAACCCATTGCGCCACCGGGGAAGGCAAGTTTTAATGATGCAAATAAGAAGTGAAGCGTGGTAGGTGAAATTTATTAAATGCTCAGATAGTAGGGAACCCCTTTCCCCCTGAGTGTGGTCCACTTCTTAAGAGGCCATTTGAATGGGAAGGACAGTTCCCTTTTGTGCCAATGAAAAATTTCCCTTCAATGCTAACATATTCTTCAAAGGAACAATTTTCATAATGGCCACAACAAAGAAGAAAAGGGTTAAATTTGCTACGAGAATATATCAGTATGTCCTAGTATTTATCCACCCCACTGAGATTCTATTTTTAGGGTTGGTTCCAAGCTACACCCCTAAAATGTCATCCAGAACAACAATATACCTGTTTACTCCAGAGTAAAAACCTCACTGTGCTCAATTTCTTAGTAACTGACAGTATGGGATCCTAGGACTGAAGTCTTAGGTATGCACCTAAAAAATGGACTGAGCACACATTTGCATGCCAACACATTTACAAAACAAGTCAAATCATCAAGGATTCAGCAGAGGCTGACAGAATGACAGTTCAAACATTGGACCACGGATAACGTAAAACAGTTCAAAGATCAATGAACTTTCTACAGAATTGTGCATCTCTCTCTTGCAGTTCCAGGGATTATAAATACCATGCCCCTAATTTCAGCAGGCTATTACAATGTCGGCACGGTGGCTACTACAATCATACAAATGATGGATTATTATAACCACAATAAACCTAATTAACAAGCTGGTCTTTTTTAATCTTTGTAATAAAATCTAGTCATCATAATGATAACCACTCTGGAAATCCTGCTGTTATTATATTACAATCAACATGGATTGCCTTATGGTGGCATTTTTAACCTCGGGTCTTCTGACAGCTCCTTGCTGGTTTGCAGACTGCTTCCTGCTACATTGCACCCTGTGTAACACTCACACAGCCGGAGGAGGGTGGAGAGCAGTGCAAGTGATCACTATGTAACAAAATTTGAAAAAAATTCTGTGTTATTTCCTGTTTAATTGTGTGGTATTTACTTTGAAAGTAATTGGTATACTACAGAAACTTCATTTTTGTGGCTGCCACAAACAATGTTGAATTGGTTGAGATTCTATGAGATACTCATTGATAAGTATAACACTGCAGTGAGTAGTAGAGAAGATTTTTAATTAAATTTATATACGGGGATATATATATAAAATAATCCCAACACTGCTCATCCAAAATATAACCATGACACCTCCACTACAGACTAGTTCACCAAAATATAGAGGAAGTATGGTTGTTGAACCAACTATCTATTTTAAAAGTTAGGAACTGGGAACTACTGGAACTGAGAGACTTAAATTGATTCTTCAAAAGTTTTCTGCTGCCACCATATTAACAATAAACAGGCTGAGTTTATGTTGAGAGTTTGATCTGTGAACACACACTGCGCCACTATAGTTTTCTTCTAAGAAATACCTTTGTGGTATTTTCTTCTAAGAATACCTTTGTGGTCAAAGCCTTATTCAAGTCAGCTTTCAGCAGCCTCTAGGCTGCTGAAAGCTGACTTGAATAAGGCTTTGACCACAAAGGTATTCACACTGAGGCTGGTATAAGTTGATAAAATTAACAAGAATGTTTATTGAACAGGCTTGAAATATTCAGGTACAAATGCTTAATGGTTTCAGTAAAATACTAGCATAAAAAAAAGCTTGTGGTTGCGTTTGAGTAAAGATCTGAAAAACTTCTGGGTTACAAGTCTTAAAAGTTCCACCACAGAAAATTACTTCAGGAAATGAATCTCTGAAAGTAACTCCCAAAGATCCCCCTAAGGAATCTAGCCAAAACCCTGAACTAGCCTTCCTTAGGAACTGAACAGACCACTAACGGGGTACTGCTCCACACAGTATTCCAGCTATTTCCTCAGTAACAGTTCTGAATACTACCCAAAAGACTAACCCAAACCTTTTCTTCAAAACCCAAACTGCTCTCGCTAACCCCCATTCTTCTTCTCTCTATCCGTTACAAATTTCAACTGGCAAACTGGGACCTCAAACCTCAGTTTAAAACACACTTTTTCCTTCAGACCACTTAGGCTCCACCCCCATCTTTCTAACCAATCCTAGCCTTCTGATTTTCCCTCCTAGACTTGAACACGCCCCCTTAAGGCAAACCTAACCTAAGATGGCGTCTCCCTGTCTCCCTTTCCTAAAATGGATGCCGTGACTTCGCCAGGCCCACTTCCTTAGGCATTTGCCAGCTAGCTAAGGTAAGGGATTCATTACAATAAGCTACAGCAAAATGTGCTGCAGGATGTCCTGCGAAACAAAGTTTTTGCAGTTTAATAAACTTTTCCCATGATTTTATGATAGAACCAATTAGGAAATGACATTTATAACCCAGGAACAAAAATTGTGTCACATAGTGTAATACTCTGATCCCACAAACAATGACAAGCTGTGCTAAGCATTTAAAGTAAGAGCAAGGAAAGTATGGACCTCTAGATGTTCATGCGCTATAACTTTCAAAGGTTCTGTTGATCCAGGATAATGGAAAGGTCACATATTCCCCATGTTTGCTATAAAAGTTAGTGCCTGTGTGTGTGGTTGTAGTAGTAGTCTTTACGAACAAGACACAAAGTCAATCCATAACACAAGGATGGAGAACCTTTTGTCTTCTAGCTGTTTTGGACTTCATCTTCCAGAAGATCAAGCCTATATATCTAATAGTATAGGTGGCCCAAACATTGAGAAGGCCCAAAGTTTTAGAAAGCAAGTGTTCCCTGTCTCCTTTTATATTCCTTAACTGTGCATTACAGGGCCCTTCCAGACAGGCCCTATTTCCCAGGATCTGATTCCAGGTTTTCTGCTTTAAACTGGATTATATGAGTCTGGGATAATTTGAAAACCTGGGCTCAAATCCTGGGATATAGGGCCTGTCTGGAAGGGCCCACAGAGAGAAGGGAAGAACTAGATACTGAATACATTTTCAGCTATAATATTTAGTAACTGCTAGACTGCTAGACTTTCTTTTTTTTAAAAAAATCTATACATTTGAAAGGACTCAGGTTCTAAATTGAAAAAGCAAGAAATTGACAGAAGCGGATTACAGTAGAGTCTCTCTTACCCAATTGGATAAATGGGCCAGCAGAATGTTGGATAAGCAAAAATGTTGGATAACAAGGAGGGATTAAGGAAAAGGCTATTAAACATCAAATTACATTATGATTTTACAAATTAAGCTCCAAAGCATCATGTTTTATAACAAATCAATAGAAAAAGCAGTTCAACACATGGTAAAGTTATGTAGTAATTATTGTATTTATGAATTTAGCACCAAAACAGACAAGGATTCTTTCTTTCTCCCACCGTGGACTGCGTTGGATAATACAGAACATTGGATAAGCAAATGTTGGATAAGCGAGACTCTACTGTATCAATTATTAATTTTTGCTAGAGTTTACCTGAGAATATCTCCATCTTTGGCATTTTGTACTTGCTGGTTCCGGCAAATCAGGCATGATCTTTCTGAACTGGTCCAAAATCAGCTGCTCTACCTTTTCTTTATCCCACTCCAGGTACTCCGCTCCAAAGGATGTACTGGTGTGCAGAACAATAGATGGGCCAATGTCAGGAGATTCTGAAAAGAAACAAAGGAAGGGGATTTACCTATCCGAATATATCTCTCCTTATGAACCATCTAGGACCTTAAGATCATCTGGGGAGGCCCTGCCCTCGATCCCGCCTTCTTCGCAAATATGTTTGGTGGGGACGAGAGACAGGGCCTTCTCAGTGGTGGCCCCTTGGCTATGGAACGCCCTTCCCAGGGATATAAGAACGGCTTCCTCCCTTCTAACATTCCACAAAAAGGTCAAGACCTGGCTCTTCGAACAAGCCTTTCCTACTGGAGCATAATTACACAAAACGAATACTGTATATAAAAAGGTAAAGGTAGTCCCCTGACACTAAGTCCAGTCATGTCTGACTCTGGGGTGTGGTGCTCATCTCCATTTCTAAGCCGAAGAGCCAGCGTTGTCCATAGACACCTCCAAGGTCATGTGGCCGGCATGACTGCATGGAGTGCTGTTACCTTCCCGCCAGAGCGGTACCTATTGATCTACTCACATTTACATGTTTTCGAACTGCTAGGTTGGCAGAAGTTAGGGCTGACAGTGGAAGCTCACGCCACTCCCTGGAATCGAACCTGCGACCTTTCGATCAACAAGCTCAGCAGCTCAGTGCTTTAACCCACTGCGCCACCGAATACTGTATATACTTGAGTATAAATCTAGTTTTTCAGCCACCGTTTTAGGCTGAAAAAGCACCCCTCGGATTATATTCGAGTCAAGGTTATTTATTATTTTATTTGTTATTAGTATTATTTTTATTTCATGTATTATTTTACTTTCTTTATTATTATTATATTTACAGTATTTTACCTTATTATTATTATGTTTATTATTGCATTTATTATTTTACTCTGTTATTACATTTATTATTTTACCCTCTTTATTATTGTTGGAAGGACGCATAAGTACATTTACATTGAAGAAGGTTAGAATAATGATTTAATCAGAGTTGGGTAGTCTTATTTCAAATTACAGTTTTATGTAAATATTCAAAAACATTTCACCTCATGATGCCTCAATTCATGTAATTTTATTGGTATCTATTTTTGTTTTGAAATTTACCCGTAGTGGCTGCATTTCCCACCCTCAGCTTATACTCGAGTCAATATGTTTTCCCAGTCGTTTGTGGTAAAATTAGGTGCCTCGGCTTATATTTGGGCGGCTTATACGGTATATGGAATGACCGACGATGCAATTGGACAATGATTTTAGTAAGGAGACACCAATGATTTTGTTTTTACAGGATGTATTGTTTTTATACCACATTTTAAATGTTTTAATTGTTTTTTTATATATTTTTTAAACTGTATCTTTATCATTATGACATCAAATCGCTGCCGACTGTGAACCGCCTTGAGTCACCCCTGGCTGAGAAAGGCGGTAAATAAATAAATAAATTCTATAGGATTTCTATAGATGGTCCCAAGAAACATTTGCATCCTCAGTGAAGTATTAATTACAGCTTTTCTACGTTTAAAAGATAGGATGTTTAATCAGAGATGTCTGCCTATCCAGGAAATGACTCTACAGATAGTAGGCTTCAGGGGGGAACCTCCTGCCTGTTAAATGGATTTGTGAGTAGAATCCACAAGGAAAGAACTATGTAGCAGTTCTCCAAGAATCAATGGCACTAGTGAAAAGCATCTGTTTTCACTTGTCTTCTCTCCTGGGGGGCATTTGATTCTTTACCCAGTCTACTCAGAATTTGGGAGAGTTTCTAAATCTGTTCAGCCATCTGGGAAATATTTCAGGATGAGGTTTCAATTCAAGCTCATGTAAGGCTACTTGATGCATGACCCAACATTATTTGAGAACGGCTAAATTTAAGTCCATCCTCCAGGAAATAAAGCCCGACTGCTCACTGGAGGGAAAGATACTAGAGACAAAGTTGAAGTACTTTGGCCACATCATGAGGAGACAGGAAAGCCTAGAGAAGACAATTATGCTGGGGAAAGTGGAAGGCAAAAGGAAGAGGGGCCGACCAAGGGCAAGATGGATGGATGGCATCCTTGAAGTGACTGGACTGACCTTGAGGGAGCTGGGGGTGGTAACGGCCGACAGGGAGCTCTGGCGTGGGCTGGTCCATGAGGTCACGAAGAGTCGGAGACGACTGAATGACTGAACAACAACAAATTTAAGTCTCTGCCTGGTTATAAGGCCAAAGCCTGAGGTTCACTTATGGTTGTGATCATGCCTCCTTGTAATCTTTGGCTGGAACTACATTGCCATATAATGCAGTTTGGAACTGTATCATATGGTCAGTGAAGACCCATATAAACGGTTCTGGCCCAACTTACATGTCCGAATGCATCTCCCCCTATGAACCATCTAGGACAGGGGTCCTCAAACTAAGGCCCGGGGGCCGGATGCGGCCCTCCAAGGTAATTTACCCAGCCCTTGCTCAGAGTCAACCTAAGTCTGAAACGACTTGAAAGCACATAAAAATAACAACAATCTTATCTCATCAGCCAAAAGCAGGCCCATATCTCCCATTGAAATCCTAATAAGTTTATATTTGTTAACATTGTTCCTCATTTTAATCATTGTATTGTTTTTAAGTGTTTTTGCACTACAAATAAGATATGTGCAGTGTGCATAGGAATTCATTCATAGTTCTTTCAAATTATAATCCGGCCCTCCAACAGTTTGAGGGACTGTGACCTGGCCCTCTGTTTAAAAAGTTTGTGGACCCCTGATCTAGGACCTTAAGATCGTCTGGGGAGGCACTGCTCTTGTTACCACCTTTCTCACAAGTATGTTTGGCAGAAATAAGAGACAGGGCCTTCTTGGTGGTGGTCACTCGGCTGTGGAACGCCCTCTCTATAGATGTTAGATCAGCCACCTCCCTTTTAACATTAGGGAAAAAAGTCAAGACGTGGCTTTTTGAACAAGTGTTTGCAAATGCAGAGTAACTGACACAGGAAAATGGAATGACTAGACAATGAAGCTGGACAACGTTTTTAACAAGGAGTCACTATAAATTTATATTTTACTAGCGGTCCCCTGCCACACGTTGCTGTGGCCCAGTCTGGTGATCTAGAAAATAAAGTTATGAGAAAGTGTTGGTTTTTAATATATATAATTTCTCTATGCTTCTGGGTAAACAGTATTTCTTTGTCAGTTACTCTGCATTTGCAAATCTCTACATTTTGATGTAGAGATTGTCTGGTTTGCCTACTCTGGAACATGCAGCATATAATTGTTCTTCTTTAGGGGTCCCTTTCAAATCTATTATACTATATCTCTCTGTGTGTGAATCATATCTATCTATCTCTATGGATGGATGGCTCTTTGTCAGGAGGACTTTGAGTACGTTTTCTTGCCCTGGTTGAAGGGAGTTGGACTGGATAGCCTTAAGTATTTTCTGGTGGTCATGGGAATTCTGTGTGGGAAGTTTGCCCCAATTCTGTAGTTTGTGGGGTTCAGCATGCTCTTTGATTGTAGGTCAACTATAAATCCCAGTAACTACAACTCCCAAATGTCAAGGTCTATTTCCCCCAAACTCCATCTGCGTTCATATTTGGGCATATGGAATATTCATGCCAAGTTTGGTCCAGATCCATCATTGTTTCAGTCCACAATACTCTCTGGATGTAGGTGAACTACAACTCGCAAACTCAAGGTCAATACCCACCAAACCCTTCTAGTGTTTTCTGTTGGTCATGGGAGTCCTGTATGCCACGTTTGGTTCAATTCCATCATTGGTGGAGTTTAGTATGCTCTTTGATTGTAAGTAAACTATAAATCCCAACAACTACAACTCTCAAATGGCAAAATCAATTTTTTGGCGTGATGGTCACTCCTTGGGTTAGTAGGTGTCTTGTGGCCAAATTTGGCAGCAATTCATCCAGTGGTTTTTGAGTGATATTAATCCCACAGATGAACATTACATTTTCATTTATTTAGATTGATTTGTTTAATTTTTATTATATGTTATGTTTTTAATTGTATCTAAGACATTGTAAGCACTGAATTTTGCCATTAACTGTCTTGAGTAGCCTATAGGCCAGGGTTCCTCAAACTTTTTAAACAGAGGGCCAGGTCACAGTCCCTCAAACCGTTGGAGGGCCGGATTATAATTTGAAAAAAAAAAAACATGAATGAATTCCTATGCACAGTGCACATATCTTATTTGTAGTGCAAAAACCACTTAAAAACAATACAATAATAAAAATGAAGAATAATTTTAACAAATATATATTAGCATTTCTATGGGAAATGTGGGCGTGCTTTTGGCTGATGAGATAGGATTGTTGTTGTTGTGTGCTTTCAAATCGTTACAGACTTAGGTTGACCCTGAGCAAGGGCCGGGAAAATGACCTTGGAGGGCTGCATCCGGCCCCCGGGCCTTAGTTTGAGGACCCCTGCTATAGGCTGAGAAAGACGGTATGCAAATACAGTAAATAAATAAATAATAAATAATATGTTGCTTAATTGCATATGGGTCCAAATTGCATTATGCGACAGTGTGGATGCAGAAACTATTGCTTTTGCCTACCATCAGACAGTCCGTCCTTACATTTTTGGGAATCGAGACTCCTTCAAGCCACCTGAGGCCACTTTGGTCCGAATTTTTTGCAATGTAGAAGTGGTTTACCTGCCAGCACAAACTCTTCACAGTTCACCCCTCCCCCAAAGGGGTGCTGTGGTAGTTGCATTGCCCAGAAGCAATGAACCTTAGCGAAGAGGGGACGTTTCACAGCAAAGTAAATCAAGGGGTAGCTGAGAGGGACACTATGCTCACTCAGCAATAAGGAATAGCAATCAAAAAGCTGTTTTTGTTGGGATCGCTGCAGAGAACTTTGTGTGACTTTGGCTGAAACCTAAACTGTTATGGATTTAACACTGAGGTTATTGGAGCAAGATCCTTCTTAAAATGAAGGGTTATTCTTGGAAGCTCACAGTCAAAAACACACTGAACAGAATGAGATTTTGAAAGCAACAACAACATTTTTGGGAAAAAAAATATCATGACTATGTTCTGCGAAAACAGCGGTGAGGTGAAGTGTGG